ATTATGTAAAAAAAAAACATGATTGGTTATATGATTGAATCACGCCAAAAAAAAAAATTTAGAATAAAATAAATACTCTTAATAATTCAAATCAAACAGTATTATTAACGGTTTCTTGCATACTTGTCTACCAGTATTTGAATATATGTGTGCATCAGACTGCCACCTTTACATTAAGAGCAAAACCAATCCTGTGGGATATTATAAACATATTTTTAAGAACGATTTTTAACAGAATCGAACATGCACTAAGTAACTATCAAATGCTCAGTCCACAGTTGACAGAATACAGGTGAACAATCATTCATATAGCATCGACAATCTGACAATAATAGTATAGTTGAAAAGTTCCTGAATAGGTAGTAAGAAAATTTGAATACGGATTTCAGAAAGCACAGAATAGGTAGTGTTTGAATTAATGTAAATATGAATGTTACAGAACATATTTTTAAAACTTCTGACAGAATATGGCGTATAGTCAGTGCTATTTTATTATATGAGTTAGGCGAAAAATTCCAGTGTTAATTTATTCTTCCTTCACGATATAATTTATTACATTTTCATAACAATATTTGCATCCTTACAATCAACATAGTTGTAATAAAATACTCGATCATGATCAAATATTAAAAACAACTGCATCTAGTTATTAAACGAAGAAAGAAATTACAAAAAAATAGAACAAATTACCTCCATACTCCCTACAGCACGTTTGTCATATAACCTTAACATCAGGTCTGTTCCTGTACATGCTTTTTTGCTGCAGCTTTCTGTAAGTTACTGTAAAAAAATTATATGTTGCAGCAAGTATGGTAACATGCTTTCGCTTTTTGCTGCACTGATAAATTGAACTATTCCTATTTTGCTTTAAATTTAATTAATTTGACGTTAAACCAGATCCACTTCACTCTTTGGAATTTATAGAGACAGATATCAGCGCCAATAGGTCTTTGGCGATAAAACGTTGAACTGCAGCGTTGGAAGAAAACACGCACACCATCATCTATACATGTACGAACCCACACCACTGAGCGGAGGGTACAGCGCAAATCAAAACACGAAGTGGTGTCATTACTCATCGTTATCACTCAGCTTCGGCAGCTTTAGTTTACGATTTAATTCGCCGTCATTGAAAAATACCTTCGTTATAAAATAGAAAAGTAATCATTATTCTAACGTAATTTTTGAATAGCCAATAGCGTGCAGCGTTGGCCAAGAAAGACGGCATATTTATTACGTTTGTTTAGCAATGATTTCGATACGTTGCGTTTTTTCCATGTATACTTCTATGCAACTTCTATTATGTTGAGCAACAGCTTCATAAATCATCAATTGTCGATTACTTTTTCGAAGGGACGTATCTGCACTTATTATTGTTTTCTCAATAACGGCGCCGGTGGTGTAGTGGTAAGCGTGATTACCTCTCACCCCAGCAGGCCTGGGTTCAATCCCAGTCGGCGCTGCCGGGATGTTCTGAGGCATAACGAGGCTTATTACGGATGTCACTTCACGGTGAAAACTTGTCACTTGTCGTCACGGTGAAGTGATTACCATTTGATTTGTACGGCAATCACGGCTCTTATTATGAGTATCACTTCCTTATCACCGTGTAGTGACACCCGTAATAAGGCCCAACATCTCTGATCACGCCTTCCTTCGATCAACAGCGTCTTCGGTTGAATTGTAGCTGGTTCGGCGAACGCTAGCTCAGTCACACATACATCGGCATCATCAATCTCGTGCGATGCGGTCGAGGTTTCGATGACTTCGCTGGAGGATATCATGGAGCGATTTTGGAAGAGTGAAGAGTTGACAACCACGGACAACTACTCAGTGGAAGAACGGCGCTGTGAATCCCTGTATCAGTCTACCGTGTCACGAAATTCTGATCATCGATACATAGTTCGGTATCCCCGAAAGCCCGATTTCGATGTGATGCTCGGAGACTCCCGAGACAACGCTCATCGACGGTTCGAGTACCTAGAAAGACGCATGGAACGGAACCCTCAATTAAAAGAAGAATTCCACCAGTTCATCAAGGAGTACCTCTCCCTCGGCCACATGCGGTTGGTCGAAGCGGACGACGAAAATGCTCCCGCTTACTACCTCTCTCACCACCCCGTAATTAAGGAAGCAAGTACAACGACCAAGGTTCGGGTCGTGTTTGACGCCTCAGCGAAAACTTTTACCGGTTTCTCCCTCAATAAAGCTCTTTGCGTGGGTCCCGTGGTGCAGGACGATCTTCTGGACATCATTCTGCGGTTTCGTACTTTTCTGATCGCTCTAGTCGCTGACATTGTCAAGATGTATCGACAGATACTTGTCCATCCAGACGACACATTGTTCCAGCGTATCCTGTGGCGGTTCTCCAAGTTATCTCCAGTCCAAGTTTACGAATTACTGACCGTTACGTATGGTTTGGGCCCGTCATCCTACTTAGCGACACGTACTCTCCAGCAACTAGCAGAAGATGAAGGCGCTGCATACCCGAACGGTGGCCCAGCGTTGAAGAAGAATTTTTACGTTGACGACTTCATCGGTGGTGCCCAATCTGTCGAAGAAACGATCCGTCTACGTACAGAGCTCGACGAACTGCTGAAAAAAGGTGGATTTGAACTGCGGAAATGGACTTCAAATCGGCTTGAGGTGCTTCAAGGTCTCAACGACGAACAGTTTGGAACGCAATCCGCACTCCACTTCAACCCCGATGAATCCATCATGGTGCTGGGAATTATCTGGGAACCTGAAGCTGATCTTCTCCGTTTTGATTCCCAGATTCGAATCAGTGATGAGCCTCCAACGAAGCGGTCCATCCTTTCCGATACCGCCAAACTTTTCGACCCTCTTGGACTCATCGCACCGGTAGTCGTTCGAGCGAGGATCATCATCCAGGAACTATGGCTGCTCTCCTGCGATTAAGATGGCCCTGTACCAGAACCTGTCAAGTCAAAATGGGGAACATATCAGCAATAACTGTCGAAGATCTCTGAGTACCGTGTTGACAGATATGCTTTCCTTCCTGATTCCGTAATCCAGCTGCACACCTTCGCAGATGCATCCCAGACCGCTTACGGTGCATGCACGTACGCCCGCTGTGAAGACAGTCAAAGACGAGTGAGGATCCAACTCCTGGCGTCGAAATCCCGTGTAGCACCGTTGAAACGAATCACGATTGCCCGGTTGGAACTGTGTACAGCTGTAATAGCAGTGCATCTACACGCTCGCATCAAGAAGGTCATTGACGTCAACGTCTCTGCATCCTAATTTCTGGTCGGACTCCGCAGTAACACTACAATGGCTACGATCACCCCCAAACGTTTGGCCGACCTACGTGGGCAACAGAGTTTCGGAAATCCACAGGACACGCAAGGTTGTCAGTGGAAGCATGTCCCTGGGATTGAAAACCCTGCCGACTTGGTCTCACGTGGCATGTAAGTCGACAATTTACTGAAGAGCGAATTGTGGTGTCGTTGTCCTAATTGGCTATCGCATTCACCGCAAAACTGGCCAATTTCTACCCTCCCAGGAGTATCAGAGGAAGAGTTGGAAATAAAAACTAGCGTTACTGTTACGTTGCTGTTACGTTGCTGTCATCGACTGTCCACCCATGGTTCCTGCGCTGGTCCTCCTACAGTCATCTGCTTCACGTCGTCGGATACTGCATTCGCTTCGTCGCTAACGTCCGTTCAAAAACCCGCACACAGCCTTCACCATCAACTGTTCCCGAAAGTCAAGCACTCACCGTAGCAGAAATCAACAAAGCCAAAACGTATCTCACCCGGTTATCCCAGGAGGATGGATATGCTGCGGAAATCAAACAGCTGAAGAAGGAGAAAATCGTATCAAAACAGTCGCACATACGCAACATGAGCCCGTTTTTCGATCCAGAGGGAGCGTTGAGAGTGGGAGGTCGTCTTGATTTTGCTCTATTGCCTTACCAATCCAAGAACCCCGCCTTGATTCCCACCAACCATCCGTTCACCCGCCTAATTGTCGAGCATTTTCACAGCAAACTGCTTCACGGTGGCGGGCGCCTACTGTTGACTGCTATTTGAGAGGAATTCTGGCCACCAAGGGGTCGTAGACTAGTACATAGTACAGTAAGAAGTTGCTTCCGTTATACTCCACTCAATCCCGTACTTTTCCAGCAGCAGATTGAACAACTACCTGCACAACGAGTCATTGCGAGACGTCCATTTAGCGTCACGGGTGTTGATTACGCTGGTCTACTATATCTTCGACCGATCCACAAACGCGCCACTCCTGCTAAAACCTACCTGTGCCTCTTTGTGTGCTTCTCAACCAAAGCAGTGCACCTGGAATTGGTCAGCGACTTGTCCACCCAAGGTTTCTTGTGCTCTCTTCGACGCTTCATCGCTCGCCGTGGACGACCCACACATATCTACTCAGACAATGGGAAAAATTTTGAGGGGGGCAAAAAACGAGCTAGCTGAGTTATTCGCCAGGTTCCGTGACCGTTTCCAGCTAGAAGAAATCATCTCAGCCTGTGCCAGCGAAGGAATCACCTGGCCTTTGACACCACCCAAGGCTCCACACTTCGCTGGCCTGTGGGATGCGGCTATTAAAGTAGCTTAAAAGCATCTCTTTTGCTCACTGGGATCATCTCCCATGTCGTTCGAAGAAATGTGTACCGTCCTCACACAAATCGAAGCAATCATGAACAGTCGGCCGCTGCTTCCGATGACCGAAAACCCCAACGATATGGCCGCATTGACTCCAGCTCATTTTCTCATCGGTTCATCGCTACATGCTCTGCCCGACCCAGACCTCCGAAGCTTTCCGGCATACAGACTCGACCATTACCAGCAACTGCAACTGCATGTGCAGCAGTTTTGGACCCACTGGCGGAAGGAGTATCTTCAGGAGCTGATGAAGGATACCCGAGGCTGGAACCACAACGATGAAATCGTACCAGGGAGAATGGTCATCGTGGGACATTAATTTTTCATTGTTAGCCTAACTCAACATATGGACTAGATAGAAGGTTATTGTCTTGGGTAAACTTGTTCAGATGGACAAGACTTATTGTAAGAGAAAGGATTTAGTTCAGAATTCACTCACCAGGCAGCGTTAGTTTGACAGTCATTTTGAATTTTTTTTACCCTAACTTAGAAATTCATTTTGAATTGTTTACCCTAACTGTTAACGAGAAATGCCGTCGCGTGGCATTTAACTGTACTGCACACTAAACACACTTATACACAATAAATAAGCTTGCTCTAAAACACCTTCGCACACTCCTAAACACCGAACTAACGCACTTAGCACTAACTAGCATTCAAAAACTAACGAACTAATCGAGGGAATTCACAAAAAAATCTAGATTAGCAAACTAAAGGATCCTGATGAATGTGGGCGTCTTAGTGGAATACCTGTATAATGAGAGAGAAAAGGATTAGTATTTTCCATTTAATTCCACTACTTTATTTGCTTATCCTTGACAGATACGCGTATTTCGTCTACAGTGTGCAGACTTCTTCAGTGTCTTGTACTAATACTCGAAGTCCAGTATTAGTACAAAACACTGAAGAAGTCTGCACATTGTAGACGAAATACGCGTATCTGTCAAGGATAAGCAAATAAAGTAGTGGAATTAAATGGAAAATACTAATCCTTTTCTCTCTCATTATAAACTAAAGGAATTTTCACCGCTCTCGCCCCTTCCACATACCAGAACAAAGTGAAAGAGTCAAATCTGAAGATCCTCAGATTAGACACAAGAATTGCAATCTTCGTCGCCGGAAAGTACGTGGAATCAACGAAGTTGATTTTCACGAAGTTCAAAAAATTGCCTTCACGCATACGAGGGGAAATGACTCTAATATTGGCCTATGGATCTAAGATTAAGCCCATCGCTAAAAATCTGCTATTTATCTTTTTTTTTTTTTTTTTTTTTTTTTTTTTTTTTTTTTTTTTTTTTTTTTTTTTTTTTTTTTTTTTTTTTATTTGTTCCAAATTCAAAATAAATTACATTTCATTTTTAACCTAGGTGCTCCAGTTACTGCAGTAACGTACCAGCCTTAATTGTTATGATATATATCTAAGTGTTTTTACATTGTTCATGTCTTGGCAATTAAGTATTTTAAACAGGTTTTTTTTTTTTTTAACCTGCATGTCAGTATAACAATTGATATCTTAAAACTAAAAACTAAAACTAAATTTTATCTAAGTATGTATAAAGGGAATTAATCGTTGCAATTGAGGATTGCAACGATTTTTGCCTGAAATTATTCATTATTTTGTTGGACATTTGTTCTAAAGTCTCAACATTCGAAATTCTATGTACCTCGGTAGTACTGTACCAGGGAGGCAACTTCAAAATCATTTTCAGAACTTTGTTCTGAACCCTTCAGTTAGCGCTCAACTTCCGAGCCGAACAGACGCATGTGTCGTTATCGTCTACGGAAGCTTCTTGCCGACTATTTTTCGAGCGATTCCTAATGCGAAAGTGAGTGAGTGAGTGATCACTGTTAGTTTCGCGTCGCGTGTGGATGCTACCGCGTGCAAATGTCCGCGATAAAACGCCGCGAAAACACATTTCGCATCGACTATGCGAATGTGCCGAAGAAGCCATCGTCCGAGGAGGTCCACCAGTTCGTCGGTGCGACGCTCGGCATGAAACGTGAGGAAGTCTTACGTATTCAATACTGCCGCAACACCGGAGTTGCCTTCGTTAAAGCCGCTTGCCTCGAAGTGGCACAAAAAGTCGTCGAGGGAAACGACAACATGCACGAGCTGAGGATCGACGGGCAAGTGTACAAACTACGTCTGATGATGGAGGATGGAGCGGTAGTGGTGAGGCTCTTTAATCTGTCCGAAGCTGTCACGAACGATAAAATTGCCAAGTTTCTAGGCGCGTACGGGGAGGTACTCTCAATCCGAGAGGAGCTAGCAGACGAGAAACACTTCTTTCCTGGTCTGCCGACCGGTGTCCGGATCGCTCGGATGACTATTAAAAAGGGCATAGCATCCTACGTCACAATTGACGGAGAAACGACACTCGTGTCGTACTACGGCCAGCAGCAAACCTGCCGGTACTGCTGCGAGTATATCCACAACGGTATCTCGTGTGTGCAGAACAAAAAACTGCTGATCCAAAAACTGGCAGCAACCGGCTCCTCGTATGCGGACGCACTAAAAAACAAGCCGAAACCAATCGTCCCAAACCCACTAGCTCCAAAGCCACCCGCCCCGAAGCCGCCCGCCCTGAAGCCGCTCGCCCCAAAGCCAGTTGTTCCAAAGCCACATGCCCCGAAGCCACTTGGTGCTGCACCGAAGCCGGGAGGTCAAAAACAGCCAACACTAACAGATGTACAATCGTGCCCAAGTGATACCACGAGCCCTTCTGCTGGTACAGAGCCGATCGATGTCGATTTCGACGACTTTCTGAAACCAGCAGACGTGCAGCAGGAAGAAGATGACAACAGTACATGGACGAAAGTTGCCCGAAAATCAGCTTCGCATCCAAAAAGCGACGGCAACGAGACCGATTCGTCAACGTCCAGTAGGCGCTCACGAAGGCTGACGAGCAAAAAAATGCGCTGCGATGATGGCAACAACTCGCACGACAAAGACCCCCACCATTAAAACATCCTCTTCACCAGCTATAACATCGCAACGGTAAACGTGAACACCATCACGAATACAACTAAAATAAACGCACTTCGAACGTTTGTCCGAACGATGGAGCTCGATATCGTTTTTCTCCAGGAGATGGAAAACGAGCAGCTCACTCTGCCTGGTTTCAACGTAATTGCCAACGTTGACCACACGAGACGAGGCACCGCCATCGCACTGAAAGAACACATACAGTTCTCGCATGTGGAGAGGAGCCTGGATGGACGCCTTGTTGCAGTGCGCGTCCACGATACCACACTTTGCTGTGTTTACGCTCCATC